CACTATAGCTCTGATTTTAGGTTGATTAAGTGTTATATCCAGTGTTGGCCTATGTTATCAGAATAAACTGTGCCATTAATCCTCTCACAGACATATGTAAGGTAGATAGCAATCAAGATAGGGAATGATTTTCTGTCTCCAAATAATAGGGCTTTTATTTCCTCCAAATTTCTCAGTGATTCTAGCAGATGCCATCTAATACATTCATGATCTTGTTTCTTTAGAGATCCTGCCATGGCAGCAACTTGTTAAAAAATGTAATCACATAGCACAACTCAAAAGATTAGATTTAAATTTAGCGCCCAGTTAGTTACATTAAATTTCACATTAAATGGAAAAGGAAGTATTTTTACTTTCCTGTAGTAGTTCAGTGGATTCCATTTGAACCAGTTTACTGCCAGAACCCAGGGTAGATTTGGTTCACTTGTAATGATTTTGGCTCTATGATAGTACTCTTGATTTTCAATATCCTAAAACATATTAAGTCTCCCCTTCAATAAATACTTTCACAAATTTCTAATCCTATGCTTCCTTGAAACACTAATATGCTAGCCAAGTGGTTTACTAAGGAATGTTATAAGGGCCCTGGAGGTGTGGGAATGTAGATTAATACCTTTATTTTCTCCTATGTAAGGGAAAAGCAGGCATCATGTCTGATTAGGTAGAAAATTACACAGGATTTCTTAAGCAACCCTTTGAAAATTGTCTTTTCTGCTATGTCACACATGCCATTTAAAATTTAACACGGAGACCTCAGGTTTGTGGGCAGCAAAGGTGAAATGACACTTTGTGCTTCCTAAGGCTCCCCTCTGCCAAGCACATTCACTTAATGCTTCAGATGTCAGCCTAAGTCCCTGCTACCTCCTTTCCTGCTGCCCAGCACTATAGCTCTGATTTTAGGTTGATTAAGTGTTATATCCAGTGTTGACCTATGTTATCAGAATAAACTGTGCCCAGCAATAGTATTTGTGCCGGAGTTGGAGCTCCTGCACTCCTCAGGTGATCATCCACATGAATTAGGTGAAATTAAGGTCTGACCTTGGAAGGTCTGCATTTCATGGCCTCATACTGGGCTCTCAGAAATCAACACACTTCAGCTAGTTTCTTCTGTTTATCCAAAGGAAATGTGAATCTCTCAGGCCAGGATTTAGTGACTAGTTTTCACTAGACAGCAGGTTAATACCTAGCTCTCAACTTTAAGGGAAAAAAAAAGTAGGACTGATTAGGTTTGCTGATTTTTAAAAACAATTCCAAAGCATGGCAGAATGCTCTTGTTTGGAATTATGGGAATCCAAGGTAAACCTTTTTCTTAATGATATGTAGCTACCTACTGTGCCTGACTTGGTGCCTGTGTGAGGATTAAGCCCTTAGTCTGCTCTTGCAATTATTCAAATCACTGAAGTTTTAAATTTGCTTTTGTAATAACAATAAAAACTGTCATCTACCTTTTTGAAGAATGTCTGTTTATGATCACCAATATTGTATCATACCATGAGTGTGTGTTTTCTGTACAACCTTTTATTTCTGTATCAGTTACTGGAACCTGGAGATTTGTTGGATGGATCTATCTAATAAGCTGTCACATAAAGAATTTAAAAACGTGTGGTCTGCTTGCATATGGTATGCAAGGCCTTTGTACAGTGTATATGACTGAATCTTAACAGCAACCCAGTAGGAAGTTAGAGATGTTTAACAATAAATCAAATAACTATATCACAGTATGTGGTTTTATGTGAACAGAGTTAGGGAAGCATCAATGATACTACTAGAACTACAAACCTCTATGTTCAGGATTTTTAAATAATGATCAAGAGACCAAACAGTATTTGCCCTTTACTGTACAAGGGCAAAAAGAAATTAATAATAAACAAGGCAATACATACAGTGGCTAATGAAGAGTGGCAGCAATACATTGTATACACTCATCTTTTGAATTAGAATTAGTTCTTAAATTTAGGTGAAAGGAACTACTTCAAGGTTTTGTTACTTAGTCCTTGGTATGGGGCTTTGGCATTACATGAATCTTAGCTTAAAACTTATGAGCAAGCTTGCTATCAAATCAGGGGTTCATATAAAAGTTCTGAATAAATGTTTTTACATTTCTCACACTTTTCTAATCTTAAATGACCAGATTTCCAACCCTGTCCATCAAACATTGTGTTCGTTGTTGGAAGAACAACTTTCTTAAAACTTCAGTGGGTAGAAAACTGACAACAGAGAACCGACAATAGACAATTTTACATTTCTTGGCCCATGGAACCAGTTTCAGAGACACAAGTTCGTTCTATCTAGGCACCTTAAAGCTGAAAAATAGCATCAATTCCTTGGACGCTGTAGCTTTGTAGTGAAGAACTACATACTTCCCAATCTAGAACAAATGATGGCCATTAGAAGTGTATACTAGTTACCTCAATTTCTTCCCAAAATGTTATAGTATGTATTAATTTTTTAAAAAGTAATTCTCATACCTGGTTGAAGATAGTTACTACATTTAGCTTTATCAGAATCAACTCTATTATGACTACCTGTAGTATTCCTTTACAAGCACTACCTTTATTTTGGTTGGCAATTACTATATTTAATTCATTTAAATATTAAATGGTTAAGCATGATCAGCTTTGACATGATTAGATTTGCACTTTACAAAGATCACTCCAACTGAAGGACAGAGAATGGACTGCAAGATGCAAAACTGGGAGTAGAAAGACAACTCAAGGCTGTTAGGGAAAAAATGATGACCTCTACTGCAAGGTGGAAGGGATAAGAATTGGATAAATACAAAAGATATTTAAAAGGAATAAACAAGACTGTATTATTAACTATTTGGGGATGAGGAAAAAAGTTAAGGATGACTCCCACATTCTGGTTTAGGCAACTAGACAGTTGGTAGTGCCAATGACTCAGAAAACAGGAGCAGATTTGAACGAAAGGTAAAGAGTTCATGGTGGGACTTGCCGGGTGTGAGGTCCTAATAGGACTTTTACATCAACATGGGTTTGAAGATGGGAGGTCAAACTTCTGTTATCTGTTGATGAATAACAAATTACCCCAAATTTAGTGGCTTAAATAACAAACATTGTTACCAAGCAAGGACTCACTGCCCAATGCACAGAGAAGCCAATACTATGACATCGGCTTTTGAGAAAAGGTTTTATTGCAAATTTGACTAGCAAGGAGATAGAGATAAGGCTCATATCTGTCTCCCAATCCAGAGTTCAGAACAAGCTTTTTGTTTTTTCCTTATTTTTCTTTATAATTTTTTCAATTAGGGCGAGCTTCAAGGGGTTGGGGGAAAGGCTGGTATGTGGAAGTGCTGGCAGGGCAAGTTTTGATTGGAGAGCTTTGGAACTTGGCCATTTATGGTAAGATAAGGGGCTTCAGCACCGGATCTTCCTGGGGACAACAGACCCTTCACTTCTGAAAGGGTTCAAGTGTTCAAGTTCCAGTCATGTCCCAGTCCTTTGGTTCTGGGTGCAACTGGAGGTCAAAATTGTCTCTGCGCATGCTTCAGCTGCATGACTTGCGGTTTTGGTTTGCTGTCTCTGAAAAGCAACTCAATGTCTTGTTAGAAACAGGACAGAACCAGTTTGGGCTGATTTTGCAGTTACAATCACAGTTTTCATGGGTCAGGAATCTGGCAGCAGCATAGCTAGATGGTTCTGGTTCAGGGTCTCAAGAGTTTGTAGTCATCTCAAGGTTTGATAGGGGTAGGATCAACTTCCAAGCCCACTCAAGTGGTTGCCGGCAGGCTGCCTGAGTTGCCTCAAGACATGGTAGCTGACTTCACTCACAGCAAGTATATGAATAAAGGAAAGAGAGGGAGGGAGAGATGAAGGGAAAAAGAACACTTGGTGGAAACTATAATCTTTTTATAACCTAATCTAAGTAGTGACATCCTCTCACTTCTGCTATATGTGATAGAAGCAAGGCACTAAGTCCAGCCCACAAACAAGTGGAGGGGAATAAAGTTCAATCACTTTAGTATCAAAGAATTTGTGGGCATATGACATTTTTTAAACCATCACAATCCCACATCCAGATTATTAACTTTCCTAAAGTATAATTCATCACTACCTCCTCTTCTTCCCTACCGCCAGTCAAAAACCTTTTATCTATACAATTCCTCCAAAGTATAAACGCTCAGCTTGACCATGAATTAATTCTTTAACCTACAGTTCTAACCTCATGCCTATTCCTTCCCTCTGCACATCCCTAATCCAGCCACTTACTACTTCCAAACACCACCATGCTCTTTCACCTGAATTCATGCCATTCCCTTGGCCTAGAAGTCTGTTTTTCAAACTTGAATGCAGGTGACACAACATCAGATAGCCCCAATGCTCTTTTCACAATACTAGAAAACAGTGATACATGAAGTCTAATGAAACAGTTCATAATCTTGTGCTAAAACTAAATTCTATCTTATACTAGATTCTAGGATAGACAAGTGGGAGTAGGTACCAAAGATTTAAGAACATTTCTCTCCAAGTTGATCAAAAGACAGAGTCATTATTAGAGATAAGCAGCAAAACACCCTTCTCCAGCGTTGGTAACATGGAAGGAGCATTTTTAAATAACTGACATGGAAAGCTTCCTATTCCCGTTTTTTTTTCATTTCTCAAAAATTTCTATAGCTAGTTGTAAAAAGACTAGAACCATCCTCAACGTATGAAAAAGCTCCTAAATAAACTGTCGTTTACATGGTGGCCGTTAAAAAAGATGAGGCACAGCATTATGTACTGACTTGGACAACCAGTTAGATACATATTATGGAAAAGTCAACGTACAAAACAATGGGTATAGCAGGCTACCATTGGTGTTAAAAAAGATAAAATTTAAATCCAACCATCCGTACAGAGAAGAAAAGTATAAGTAGTCCCCAGAATATCCCTGGCAGGTTCCAGGAGAAACGGGTAACAGTGGTCACCTCCGGGGTAGTGGGGTGGTAGAGACTTTCTACCGCATCCCAGCCCTGCACGTTTACGTTCAGACGCTCTTACCTCCCGCCTCTGTGAGACCCGAAGCTCATTCTGGCTCTGGCTCCTCCTTCGCGCCCCCACACCGCTTAACGACGATTCTGGTGTCTCCCGTGCCTGATTCCACGGAATCCTCACCAGCCGCCGGGCGGTGCCCGCCATCCTGGCGTTCGACGAGGCTGTGGCTGGGCAGCATAGTCATTGAGCAAGCGGGTGATGGGGCCAGGATTCCCCGCTCTCCCCACGCCCCACGCGGCCTGCCCCAAGGCGGGGTCCACGGAGAGCGAGTGATCCCACCGGGTGAGTGGACAGGCCTCCTCTCCCGCCTCCAGGCGCTTGCTCGATTTCTTTAGTGGAAGAGGGAGAGAGAGATGTCGCCAGGTTGCTCCCAGCGCCTCACGGAAAACCGGAACGAAAGAGAAGGAGAGTTGCCTCAGGGAAGGGACTCCGCGACTGCAGGATGACGGACACTCAGTTTGCTCGCGCCCGCCAAACCACTACGACGCGACGTCCGGAAGTGACGTGTGGCTGCGCGTCCCGCCCCCTGACTTCCGGCAAGAGGCCTGAGCTCGCGCATGCGGACGGAGCGCCAGCTCTAGGGAGCCAGTTCTGGGATAAGGCACGCGAGTCTACACGAGGTCAGAGCGAAATGGAGGATTCGGCGTCAACCCCACCCGCAACCTCAGCCTCGACTTCAGCGACACCGGCCGCTCCGGAGGAACTGGACAAGGAGCAGGTTCGTGGCCCCTGGGGAGATGGGTTGGGAAACGGGTGGCCGTGGCCTTGCGAGGCACGGGGTGCCCGGGGCCGGTTCCGCGCCTCTGCGGACGCCTTCAGAGCTTTGGGAGGGTCGCTCATTCGCTGTGCGCCCACCGTTTCCGCTCCTTTATGCTCATGGGTACGCACCTGCTTCCCCCAGCCCTGCGGCCTGGCTCTTTAGAATTGGATTGCAGGTGTAGTTTGGGGTTCTGGAGATACATCTGGCTCTGCTTCCCTGCGGGTTGACTAGAGCCAAGTCGCTTAATTTTGCAAGCCTCAGATACCTCGTATTTAATTGGGCTCTGAGTACTTGGATGGGAGACCACCTAAGAAGACCGGGTGCTGTAGGTATAAAAACAAATAAATAAATAATAAAATAAATAAAATAAAATGGGCTCTGCAGCCTCCGCTCTCCGGGATCAGAGGACTAGCACATAGCAAGCGCTCGGTAAATGCTGGTTGCAGTGTGTCGCGCGTTTGCTGAGATTACTGCCTTCATCATTGTGAGCAGAAGCATGTACTATCTGGCACGAAATCTTATGTGGGAGAGGCACTTGTGTTCTACGACTTCTAGAAGCAGATACTTCTGTGGTTTCTGATGGATTCTTACATTCCTCTGATTACAGATTGCACGATCCTAGTAGTTATGGTTGGGGAGGTTGCCTACTAAAAGAGAACAAGCAGAAAAAAGAGAAAAGGTGTGGGGAGATGGGTAAATGCTAAATTAGATTGAGATTTAATTTATTTGTGTATCTCCACTTTGCAGATCAAAAAAGCGGTGGAAGCTCTTTTGGCACATTCCAGGTCCAGGAAAAATGCGAATGGATTGCTTTTGAATGAGAACGAAAATTTCTTTTTAATGGTGGTATTATGGAAAATTCCAAGTAAAGAACTGAGGGTCAAATTGTAAGTTCTGGTTTTCTACCTTTAATGTTTTTATTTGCTTGGTCAATTATGTGTAACTTTTAGCAATCACATCTTAATTTCTAATGGAAACTTTGCAAACTCAAAATAAAAATCTGAGTTGTAATAAGTAATCATGCCTAAAAAAAGCACATAGAGAATCAGACCTGCTTAAATTTTCTAGAAATTTTACCACTTTTCTGGGCATTTGGTGAACAGTTAACCTAAGCAGTTCTATTGAATCCAAAACCCAGTTTTTGAGAGAATAAAGGTTAGAATAAGTTTAACAGCTTTTGTATTTTCATAAAATCTGTTATCTTTCAGTGTCAAGTTAATTCCAAGTTAAAATCCCTGAGGTACCAGCCTTGCTCCTTTATACAAAGACTATTAAAAACTTGGCAGTGAACTCATTATAGAAAAGAAAACAGTAACAAATGATTATACATTCTTGTTGCTAGGACTGTTAGGTCAAAAACTGCCCCCCTCTGCAGAGTTACCAGATTTAACAAAGAAAAAAAATTGTTTAGTATCAGTAGGTCCCATGTAATATTTGGAATCTACTTTTACTTAAAAGAATGTTTAAAATTTAACTGGGAGTCCTGAATTCTATGTGACAACCCTGCCTCTGTGTGGAGTCTCTCATTTCCTGAGTGTCGGAAAGCCAGCTCTACTAAAAAAAAAAAAAAAGAGTGTGTAAGGTAGTGAGTTTCTTTTCTTTACCCTAAGGAGGGGTAGAGGTCAGGGCAAGAATGAATATAAATGAGAAGACCATTTTGATGGTCATGTTCTATCAGATAGTGTTCACAAACCTGCCCCAGCCAGATGGCCGCCTGTGTTCTTTATTCCACACCTTTGCTCAGGCAGTTTTTCTCTTCTGGAAAGCCTTCTCACTTTGTCTAGGATGATTTCCCAGCTGCTCACCTCTTGGTGATTTCTGCCATGGAACAGCTTTGCGGCTCACCCAGTCTCGTTTGCTAATGTGTACTGTCATCTCTTTCTTAAGCTAAGTAAATGCTTCCTCAGAACATGTAGGCTCAAACTTTAAGTCAACAAAAGAATGGTTGCATATTTACTGGTCCCTCTTGGTTTGCTCCATGTTTTCTGTTTCAGCTCTTAAGAACTATGTTTTTTATGGAGGCTAGAGTTTTCTGCAAGGTCAGGTTCTGAACCAGAACTGTCCTGATGAAAGTCGATCGTTCTAACACATTACAATATGTGTGTGTGTGTGTGTGTGTGTGTGTGTAGCAACATATAAAATAAGAGTTATATATGTGCACTGTTTTGGGTGTTCAATTATCTTTTAACTCTTGTTATATCTCAAATATTAATTGATATTTTGGCCTATGGGTATTTGTGGTGATGTACTTCAATCTTAAATCTTTTCTGTACCATGGAAAAGTAGATATATTTTTAAATGTTCTCAGTATAGTATTTGCTTAAATGCCATAAATGAATTTTATTGAAGTAACAGTGAATTTATTATGTCTTTCAAATATAAAAACATACATTCTGTCTGTAATAAAACTTTATTCTTTGGTTCTTTCTGATGTATTTTGCAGGTCCTTGCCTCATAGTATTCGATCAGATTTAGCAGATATCTGCTTATTTACTAAGGACGAACCCAACGTAACTCCTGAAAAAACGGAACGTTTTTATAAGAAGCTTTTGAACAAGCATGGAATTAAAACCATTTCTCAGGTAGGAAGCAGGCAATTAAAAGATTTGATTCAATTGAAGTGATAAGTAATACATTGCTATGTTACCTAGTATTTCTCTCCGAAGAATGTAATTTTCTCTTTTTAATTTAATTCTCCCTGGCTTTAGGTAGGGGATAGTCCATCTTTCCTCTGATGGTTGAGCTGTCGAGGTTTGTTGATCCAAAAGCTCAATGTGTACATCAGTAACTTTTATATCTAGAAGATTTTACAAATAGTTGTTCACTAGGTCATTTCTCTGTACTTCCGGAGCATCCTTTATTTGCCTCTGACTTGACACTTCTCACTCTGTTTTGTAGTTGTTGATGTTATTTCTTTGGCTGAGGTCCCATCTCACTTGTCTCCATTTCTGTCCCCCGCATTTAGCATAGTGCCTGGCACATTTTAGATACTCACATGTTCACTAAACTATGGTCCCAGGACATTTTAAACTCTGAATACATGTTGTTGCCCAAGTACTTCTTCTTGTTCAGGTTCTTAACTTTTTGTGTTTTTATTCTTTCTTATGTATTCTAGATTATCCCCTTTCGGACTTTAAAAAAGGAATATAAAGCCTACGAAGCCAAGCTCCGCCTCCTGGGTAGTTTTGACTTCTTCCTCACAGATGCAAGAATCAGGCGGCTCTTGCCGTCACACCTCGGGAGACATTTCTACAACAGAAAGAAGTAAGTTTCCGAGCATCTCTGGACTCGAGCAACACGAAATCTGTAGACGTGTGTGCATGGTGCTCTAAAAGCCTATATTGTTACAGGGTTCCGGTATCTGTAAACCTTCTGGCCAAGAATCTATCCAGAGAGATCAACGATTCAATAGGCGGAACTGTCTTAAACATCTCTAAAAGTGGTTCTTGCAGGTAGGTAAAAGGCATCCATGTGTATCTGTGTTTAATATTTAGTAATGATTTTATAAACATTTTTTACAAGATAGTGTTAATGAAACCAGATCCTTCTGTTAAAACTAAAATCCATTCCTCGGACACATTCAATTCTCTAGAACAGTGCTGTCTGATGGAACTTTCTACAGAGATGGAAATGGTCTGTATTCCTGCTCTCTCCTCTTGGAGTCATTAGCTGTATGTGGCTATTGAGTACTTGAAATGTGACCACTGCAGCTGAGGAACTGAATTTCTAATTTCACTTGATTAATAAAATTTAGATAAGCACATGTGGCCAGTGGCTAATAGTTACCATATTGGATAGGGCATTTCTGGATTATGGATAGCAAGGAGAAGGAGATTAATGCTTAGAGAACATTAGTAGTTTTAGGCTTTCGTGTTACCAGCATCATTATTATGTTTTGAAGTGAAGATCCACCTCAGTCCTGGTTTAAACATATTAAAAATCATTTCATAAAATACTTAGTTTGCTGACTGGGGCATCTGTGGATGGGGATGGGCAGAACTGTAGGGTATGGTCCTTCCTCCCAAAGACACCCCTGGAGCCCATATGTACCCAGTGGTCACACACACCCTAAAAAAGGACCACCAAGGTATCTTGAGTCACCAGGTAAGCCAGCCCTCAGCAGTGTCTCCAGGTAGGGCAGGGTGGGGTTTGACCGGGTAAGACAGGTAAGCTCTGGTTTGGCCTTCTACCTGCAGGTGGAAAGCCGTTTAATTGAGTGTCGTTAGGCCACTGAGAAGAATTAGTCATCAAGCCTGGTCCCCAATTCTCTGGTTATGGCCTGGCATCAAAATCGTGGTTCCTGAGAAGCTGCTAGCTACAAGGTCAGAGGCCTTGTTCGTGGGATCAGTGAGTAGCCAGGAGAAAGAGGACAGATAGCACCGTGCAGGCCGATAAGGAGTAGCAGGGGACAGAAATGGAGACAAGTGAGATGGGACCTCAGCCAAAGAAATAACATCAAAACCCATAGTTTAAGGAACACTGTGGACAATTAATTAAAAAAAAAAAACAAAAACCTAAACCATTTTTTCATCTTTTTTTCCAATTTTTTCCCAACATAGTAGTGTTCTGTCTTCTTCCCCTCCCACCTTCCCCTTTCCTCTCCACGCCCCCTGTACAGCCCCCTCCCACCCCCTCCTACTTGGCTGTTTCTCCATCTGGGAGGCCAAAGGTATGCTTACAAGTAGTTGGCAGTGGGCACACAGAGTGGGCAGAGCCCCGTCTTTGGTTGCAGGGAGGCAGAAGCCCCAGCCCCTCCTTCATCCTGCTTCAGAGACACCTGCCTTTCAGCTGCCATGGTGGGAAGGATGGGGACTGGGTGGACAGGCTGCCCCAGTGGCTGAGAACTAGGTACTTCTGGGCTTCCCATTGGGCTGTGTCTGCACTCTGCTCAACTTGAAAGAATGGGCTTGCTCCTGGCCCGAAGACCGGTACTGTAGGAGGAAGGAGAGTTGTTTGTTTTAGAGGTGGCAGCTGGGTCAGGGCAGTGGAACTTTTATAAAGGCAGGAAGCAACTCTTTTGGGGGTCATTTCTTTCAGAACAGCCACTCCTGGGGATAATTGTCCTCAGAGAAGCTGTGGGCTGACTCAGTGACCTACGTTTTCTGTAATGAAGGTAGAACACCCATCTGACTCTCCTGGCCTCACATTGTTAAGTGCCAGCTCCTCAATCATCTCTTCATGGTGTGACATTTTAGGAGCAGAGTGTTTCTAGAACATAAAAGGTGGTGATCTTCCTTTAAAATATATTTAGAACCTAAAGTTCTTAATGTTTCTACATTCAAAAAAAAATTTAGGATTGTATTTTCGTATTCCTCATACCTGCCTGTGCTTTATTTTGAAGTTGTTTTTTTTTTTTAATCTTATTTATTCATCTGAAACTTTATTAAATTTCAGCACCATACGCATTGGCCATACTGGAATGCAGGTTCAGCACATCATCGAAAACATTCTTGCTGTCACGAAAAGGCTTTCACAGAAATTGCCAGAGGTAGAGTCTTATAGATGAATCAATTGAGCGATCATTTAAAAGAAACAAAACGTGTTGTTCATATTACTCTGTTTGTTTGTTTGTTTCAGAAGTGGGAGAGCGTGAAACTCTTGTACGTGAAAACCGAGAGATCAGTTTCCCTTCCCATCTTTTCTTCATTTGTCAGCAGTCGAGGTGAAGCCAAAGGAGTGCGCACCCCTAGTCAGAAGAAAAAAGTGAGCAGAGTTTTGTTTACTTGAGAGACGTAATCGAGGATGTGGATGCTGCCTCAGAAGAGACAGTGAGGTTGCCATCCCCACCTGACTTTAACCTTTTAGTGGTTTTCCCGTGGTTGTGCTTTGTGTTCATTGTTCTCTTTTTACGTATGACATTAGTTAATCTTGTATGGATAAAATACAGTATAACACAAATATATGTATTGATGTTAGGTGTTTAACTTTTTACTTTCTCTTAAAAGGGCGTATTAGGCTTAGAAGGGGCCTATTCAGTGGCAAGAGGAGCTAAAAGAAAGAGGAAAACCAAAATCTAGTTTACGAAGTGCTCTGTTATTTATGGGCAAAATTTAAGACTGTGTTGAGCTAACACATACCTCTTGGTTTTTGGTTTGTAGGTTTTTGATGCCAACAGGTACCATTGCAAAAGAAGCCAGAATGAGAAAATTAAATTTTTTGCTTTGTTGGACTGATCTCCTAGTTTATTCGTTCTTTCTTTAGCCATGTTAATTATCTCTAATGAGTTTTTAATTTCGGTCTTTTATTTTTTACTTCTAGAAGTTTCATGTTTTGTTCTTTTTTAAATTGGCTGTACTCTTTTTTTTTTTTTTTTTTTGGTTTCCTGTTATGTATAAATAGTCTTCTAATTTGTCTTAATTCTTGGAGCATGTTAAGTATGATTATATGATAGTCATCTGATAATTCAGATAGAAGTATTGGTGTTACAGCCAGCCATCTCTGACTTCTGGTTCCTTATGTATTTGGTTATCTCTGACATGGCATTTGGAAAATTTTTTGTAGAAATAATTCAAGGTGTAGAATGAAAATTGTTTCTCCGGAAGCTGACATTTATGTCTGCCAGGTATCTTGGGGTACCTTGGAGCACTCTTGGTCTGCACCACCTGAAAGCACATTCAAGGCCAAAGGGTCCCTGAATGACAAAGCAAACCATGGCACTAAATTTACACATCTTTGCTTCCTCTTCATCTCTGCTCTGAGGGTAGAACTCATTGGGATCCCAGCTTTTCGTGAGAGGAATGTCCTCTTAGAATCTATACCTAGTGTGGATGCTCAGATTCGATTTTTCTTCACCTTGTCCCCCAACTCACCCACCCAGGTCCTACAGAGCTATTAAAACAGAAGTTGGGGATCAGCAAATACTCTCTGGGCAAAAATGGATTCTGAGCTCACTCCATTGGGTCCTCATTATTAATTTCCTACAGTGTAATCAGCTCAAAGGTGCTTTTAATGAAAGAAAAAAATTAAAAACAAAACATTTTGCCCTGCCTTTTTACTTGGGAGGATGATCCAAAATAACATAGACTGCTATTACCAGAAGCAGGAAGTCTGGATTTTTTGCTGTTTGTCAGCAGATTCAGTTGAGGGCTTTGTGAAGTTGGAATTTTTTTGTTTTTGGTAACAGCTTTATTGAGATGTAAGTCACATCACATACTGTGCAATTTATGATAATTCTTAACTCACCTATAAATGAAGTTGACTTTCACAAAAATCTTGACCGCGTACCTCAAATATCCAGGTTCTGAATACCAATACATAATTTACCATGTAGAATGCAGCTGTGGCTGTGACTCAGAAATGAAGTGGAGGTGGTGTTCAGGTGCTGGCAGGAGGGTTTGTTTGCTCAGAGCTTGTACAAGTCAAGGCCCTTTGAGAGAGCTTGTAGGTAATCAGAACTGTAAGTGATGAGTCTCGGCCATTTGTTTTCCAACAGAAATATCCCCTACTAAAATTACATTTTGGTTTTTTCGGTAGGATGCAAAGAAAATGCAAAAACAAAAAGAATATCTTCAAAAACAAAAGGAGAAGAAAAGAAACAAAAGGCTTATGAAACAGGCTAGAAAGGTTGCATCAGCCCTACCTACAAAGGAGGCAGCCCCTAAAACAAGTGATACGCCAGTGAAGGACCCTGAACCCCAGAAGAAAGAGACCTCCAAGCCTGAGAAGAAAGAGACCCGCAGAGTAAAGGCCCAAAATAAAGTGCAAGACACATCTGAAGAAGAAATTCCACTATTGGTCCCAATAAGAAAATCTCCCACCAAAGAAAATGTAGAGGTATGTTTACTAATATTTAATATTTATCATGTAGTGATTCAGATGCCACTCTGTATCAGGCAGGCATGGCTGAGTGATGACTGTAATAAGTGTTAACATATGGGGACACTATAGAAATCTATTTCAGGGAAAACTTATTCTACCAAAGATTTTTAAGTAATAGATAAAAAATACTTGGGTAAACCTCAGAACCCAGAAGATAGTTACCATGACCTACTTGACCCTTATTTTAAATATCGGAGTAACATGTACTAAACACAACCTTGTATGTCCCTAGGAATCAAGGGAGACATGACCATATTGATAATTCTTAAAAACATTGCCCATGGTTTTAAAAAGGAAGCCAGGGTGGACATTTGGGCAGTGGTTTAGTTTCTGCAGGTGAGTCCTGGATCAACTCACAATTAGTCTTAGAAAACTTACAGGGGAAGTGTGGGCCCCGGACCTGCCCCTAAAACCTTTCTGACCACCTGCACCCAGCGGTTCTTCACAGAAATCTGACTTCATGGGTTTCAGATAAGATGATTTAAAGGAACAGAGTTTTTCATTTTTTTGGTCTTTTGATCATTTTTTTTCCTCATACTCATAGTATCTATCGTATTGGAGGAAGACCTTTTGAAAACAAGGGGAGAAATAGGTCCCTAATTGTCTAGAGGGCTGACATCCCACCCCCACCCTGTGGGCAGACAGGACTCATGGCCCCTGTGGGCACAGCCTGCACTGGGGGTCCCGGGGCTATTACTGTGCTTTACCTATTTTGCGTTTAGTCTTAACAGTAACCTTTAAAATCTTAAACATTATAATTTACATCTATTAGTGAAAATATTCTTTTTAAAGTGCCCCCAAAGCACTACTGAATTTATCAGTATACCTAAAGTTAACATAAATGGTCAGTATATTAACTATATAATTATTTTTAGAAAAAGTAAGCTGTTTTGGTTATAATGGGACTGGCAAGTAATATGTTGGAAATTAAAGAATGGAAGGTGTAGCTGCCAGGGTGATGCATGTCAAGTGCTGTAAAAGCGTTTATGCTCTTTGAACCCATCTAGGAAGTATGATCAAGGTGATAAATACACAAGTTTCATCATCATTCACTATAGAAACAAAAAATGAAAAAACGTCCCGTATCCTTGCAATTGTTTTTTGTAAAGTTATTGAAAATGATGTTTATTAAGAGTTTATACTGCTTAGGAAATATGAATGAAATAATTGGGAAAAGGGCATAATACTTGGCTTTTAAATGTATACCTACCCATGGGGGAAGGGTAGTAAGAGTTAACACTATTATTAAGGAGTTTTTTATATTTGATGTTTTTCAGATTTTCCATAATCTCTCATTTTATATTTTACTCAAAATTTTGTTGATGTTGGTTGGGTTTTTGGGTCTCCGCCCCACTCCATGTGCAAGGAGTTTATAGCTGAAGGTGACAGTCAGGATTATGCCACAGGTCTTCTTGCTGTGCTCCTGGAAGGTGCTTTCAGCAGACCCTACACTCAACCATTGGGAAAGTTGGTTTCCCCCTTGATTGGACCGTCAGGGTCCTCTTTACAGTTACAAATAATGGAGAATACAGCTGCCTTTCAGAATGTCGGTGAGGCAGAAAGAAAAGCCATTTCTCATCATGCCAAGGTGTGCCTTCTGGGGGCCACCTGAGTAATCAAAATGAGAACTCTTGGAGTTACACTGTCAGTTGGTTTTCTTTTCTCCTCCAGACTTAAGTTTTTTCTTTTACCTAGATACAAAATCATGCCACAGGAAAGAAGTCTCCACAAAAGGGTAGAAGAGGAGGGAAGAAGAGGAAGGCCTTAGCTTTGGAGACTCCGAAAGCGGCAGAGCCCAAAACCCCAGGGAAAGGCCCAGGGAAGAAGCCAAGAATCAAAGAAGAGTTGGAGAAGGAACAAAACTCTCCCTTGGGGAAAAAAGACCCAAGACAGACACCCAAAAAGCCAGAGGCCAAGTTCTTCACTACAGCTAATAAATCTGCAAGAAAAGTTCCCCAAACCGCCAAACAATGGTCCAAAAAACCCAAAGTGCCCCAGTCAACCTAAAATCAGTGACTCAGCCAGGAGGAAACATCAGAGCTGCGTGGGTATTTTGAAAGATACTTGGGTCCTGGCCCCCGTCAACAACCTTCTCCAAGAGTGAAGCCTAGACATAAATATATGTAAAACCCTCCACAAGTAATTCTGATACATGTTCGTGAGTGTAAGAAACAGTAGTGAATCTATTTTTAAAATTGTTCTTCCATGTATTTGCTAACATAATAGAGAGAAAATACAGTGCTTTCCTGTGATTGTGTTTTTTTATTAAAGTGTTAACATTTGCTTCTAAGTAAACTTTGCATTCTGTATCTTGTTAGTTTTACTTGAATGCCTATGATGTGACTCTTAACTGCTTTAAACCATTTATTTATATAGGCCCCAGTACAGCAGTCTGTGCATAGATTTTCAAAGCTTGTCTTTTAGGCCAGCGATGGGCTCGCTGCATGCACATCAGCTGCTGAACTCACGTTAAGTCTCAGGTCCTTGGCCCTTGTGCCAGGACAGTGTATCTTCATGGGTCTTGGCGAAGTGGTGGTCAGCCAAGGGTGTAAAGCGCTGAGTTAGCATCTGTTTGGTGAGGGACGTTAGCATGGAGCCATTTATAGGGGCACCAAATTGAATCCTGCCTGCTAGAGGCAAGAAGATACCTTCCACAAGCTCTCCTATCTTCCTCCAGATTGTCCCTCACCCTACATGGATTTACTTAGATGTGGCACCTCTCGGATAGGGGACCTGGGAGAGGAGACCGCTAGATTTGGGTGACTCTTCAACATGCTGAGGCAGTGAATGCCTTCTCAGGTCCGGAGTCTTTCAGTGGATTTGAGTTGGGGTACACATCTCTGGTAGGAAGTGAGAGATCCAGCGTGCGTAGTGCAGGAGGACCAGCGTGAGGCATGCTTCCAGAAAACACATGGTTCAGAAACGGCAACAAGGAATAAAAGCTTCGGTTGGCTCTCTAGCAAGGTGACTTGAGATAGCTGTTGCTTTTTAGCACAAATTAAACTGTCACATAACTTTTTAAATCATGAAAACCTCTAAAATACAAAATAATTTGTAATTCCGCTGTCCTTTTAGGGTCTTAAAAATGAATATGCATCTAATGTGTGTTGTAGGGATTTAGCTTAATTGATAAGTTTTCCATGGAAACTAAGTCTGCTGTTTGGCATAAGGCAGACTCTCATGCATAATCAGATAAGCTGTTCTTTAGAGTCCACATGACAGTTTTCTAGGGATAGTTGTGTGGTTTTCTGGTCTCATCCTTTAGTTATTGTGCACTTTAGTCCCCGTTGAGTATGATGCGGGTATTTACAAAATCTTCCTGTTCTGCCATGCATCTAGTTTCTCTCTAATAAATTCTCAGTGTTCTCTATATTGAAAAAGAGATTTGAGTTTCTTGAGCAGGGTGCTAATTTTTTTTGACAAAGGCCACAGTTGAGAAATTGGTGATAATTCTGAATTGCAAATGAGAAAATCAAATTGAGTGCTTGATTTCCAAGGCTTATATATAGGAGACACCTTACCTGGTGGCTGAAAGGGCTGTGGTCTACCAAATAGGGCCAGAAAAGTAGTGGAAATCTCTGCAGTGTATTAGTTCTTGTGGGTTAAGAGGTTGAGTATGTGGCTGATGTTTGTTTCATTGGAAGTCAGTGTTGGGTTTCTGGATCCATCCTCCATACCACAGAGATTTAATGGACAAACCCAGATCTGATGGGAAAAATTTGCAATATTTTTATTCTGAAAAAGTACCTGAAATTTAATTTGTTCTTTAGGAAGTGTAATGAGCATCAAAATTTTTAATGTTTTTAAATGCCTTGAATATATTTAAGATACTCCTAATAAAGGTCACATTGTATTTCATAATGTCCTTGAGAAATATTTAAATAAGGGTACAAAGGAATTTCTAAGTCATGCTCTCTGATCACCAGACCAAAAACCCTTAATCTATTCAGTTCATGGGTGTATTTAAGGGTTTAAAATAGCAAAGAACTCTTTTGTCATTTAAATATCGATGATTCTGCACTACTTTTTTTTTTTTTTTTCCTTAAATTATACTGTTTTCCCTGCTTATAACTAGTGTGTTAATAGTCACAACACCAAGATTCCCAGTTAGGACTTTATGAGCCTAAGAAGTTCTCGAGCCTTAGATGTTATATTGCATGTGATTAAAGACCACAAATAAAATTCTGGTTAAAGTGAAATAATGGTCCTAGAGAGAGAAAATGGCAAATTATTTAGGTGGTTATATATAATCCCAGATTCTATGTCTTAGTAAAACACTGTCTAAGAAGTATTAACATCTGTTTGTATAACTTTTTTTTTTCTTCGTATGACTCATTTTCTATACTTGAAGTGGCAGGAAATAATCAGGGCATGGGTATAATTTCGACTCACCTAGAAAGATGTCTCTCAGCTTTCCAAAAGACATTCACTGATAATGTGAATTAGACACTCATCTTTTCATTATAGATTCCCCCTCAAAATCTATTTTTCCGGTATACAATGACATCATCTCAAAAACATTGAACTCAGCCATTGAGCCATGGAGTTACATCTGTTTTCATTTTATTCGTTCAGCCACCCACATATTCACACATCCTTTTTCCAGTAAGTTCCTACGAAGTGCCAAGTACGGTACTAGACTTGGAAAAGGAACACATAAAACAGCTTTGAACTTCAAGGGAATCCTTGTCTGGTTAATGGCATCCTCAGAATTAGAATCTGGTTTGCATCTCAGTACTACCCAATCATTCTTCACTAATCTTACATATAGGCAGTTTTTACACGTAGGTATTCTGGGTTTTAGGTTCACAGCAAAATTAAGCGGAAGGTACGGAGATTTCCCATATCCCTCTGCCCCCACACATCTCCCACCAGAGTGGTACGTTGCTTAAAATCAATGAGCCTACATTGACACATCACTGTCTCCCAAAGTCTACAGTTTACATTAAGGTTCTTTTTGTATTATACGTTCTATAGATTTGGACAAATGTATAATGACATGTATCCAACATAATAATATCAAGGTATTTTCGCTGCTCTAAAAATTGTGTTCTGGCTATTCACCCTCCTCCTCTCCCCTCGCCCCACAGAGCCCCTGGCAAACCACTGATCTTTTTATTGTCTTAATTTTGCCTTTTCCAGAATGTCATATATTTGGACTCATACAGTAGATAGCCTTTTCAGACTGGCTTCTTTCATTTAGTCGTATGCAATTAAGATTCCTCCATTTTTTTCTCATGGCTTGATAGCACATTTTAGTGCTGAACAATATTCCATTGTCTGGAATATTAATTGCCAAGTTCGGGACAATTGTAAATAAAGATGCTATAAACATTTGTGTAGCTTTTTTGTGTGGTAATAAGTTTTCAACTGCTTTGGATAAATATCAAGGAGTGTGATTGCTGGATCACATAATAAAGAGGGTGTTTGGTTTTGTAAGAAACTGCCAAACTGTGCTCCAAAGTGACTACCATTTTGCATTTCCACCAGCAATGAATGAGAGTTCCTGCTACTCCACGTCAGCATTTGATGGTGTCAGCGTTCCAGATTTTGGCCATACTAATGGGTGTGTAGTGGCGTCTCATTGTTTAATGTTATTGGTAAGGCTTCCAGTCAATGGTAGGCTATTAGTTCTTAAGTTTTGGGGGAGTCAAATTTATATGTGGAGTTTCCTCTGCATGGGGGTTTAGAGCCCTTCACCTCCTGGAGGATGGTGGGGTATGGGGAAGTTGATTTGGTATCAAGGGTGGGGGTTCTCTCTAAAGCGACTTACAAATTGGACAATATAAACACAAACAGAAGTAAAAAGTCGAGTCCCACTGGGGAAGAGGATTCAGAAGAGCCTGACTAAAGTTTGGTCAAGTAGACTCTTCGTCACTGGAAATACCTTCAAATTTTGACCCTTCTAACTCTCCATGCCTCGTGACAAAGGAACCTGACTTATTCAATCTATCTGCAGGATACATGAATCCATAGACCCAAACATCTTGGAGCAAATCATGCAAAAAAGTTGACTTCTTTTAAAATCATGACCACTACCTCAAAGGATACTTCCTACTTCCTACTGCCCTGCCTTTTGGATGTGTCCCCACTCTTTCAGCCTTAATGGGGATTAGAAGATTGTTTTAAAATATGCCTGGTTAAAGGAAAGTCCCTCCTCCTCCCTTGACTGACATGTGAAGGTCCCACCACGAAAATGATGACACCCATTCACCTGCTCACTAGAAATCCCACCAGTCAACAAACTCTACATGGTAGCCCTTCAGTGCCTCACTCTGAAATGTGAAGGGAGAGCCCAGAAACTAGGAACTGTCAGGAATGCTTCTGAACTACACATTCAAAGACCTGTAGAGGAGACAGTGCGGGGAGCAGCAACAGAAAAAAAATGTCCTTCAGCTTACATTTAACAATCTCAGAAATGTAGGAGATATATTGTATAATTGAAATAAGTGTCGAGTGTTATAAAGAATCGGTAAGAAAAAGCAAGAGCTCTTAGAAATTAATAATGATGGCAGAAATTAAAAATCCAAATATTTCTGTATGATAAAAGTAATGCTATGTTCAAGAAGAACCATTTACAATACGAAGAAAAAAAAAACAGGACAATGTCCAACAATAGAAAAATTTTAAAGATACAATAGAAAGAGACAGTGGAACATTTTACTGTCCCTAAAACTTGGTGAAAAGAAGTCCATTCCGTATATACAATAGAATATTACTCAGCCATAAGAAGAGATGAAATACTGCCATCTGTGACAACATGGATGGACCTCGAGATAATCATACTAAGCAAAATAAGCCAGATAGAAAAAGTTGAAAACCACATGATATCACTTATATGTGGGATATAAACCTAAAAGCAACAAACATACATAACAGACAAACATAACAAAGCAGATCAATGGCTGCTTGGGTGTAAAGGGTGGGGAGGCATTACTTTACAAAGGGGCTCAAAGAAACTTTGGGAGGCAATGGATTTTTTTTTTTAATCTTATTGTGCTGATACTTTCAATGGTGTGTGTGTGTGTGTGTGTACATAGATATATATGTCAAAACTCATGTGGTGTTTTTTTGTGCCTCCTTATGCCTCCATTAAATCATGAGTGAAGAAGCATAGAGTAAATGAGTTTAAGCAATGTTTCCCAAATCTTTGCTGATGTTAAGAAGCCTCTGGGTGTTGTGGGATGTCCACACTCCTGGTCCCACTGCCAGAGGCTTCGTGAAACACTGGGTGAGTTGTACTGTCAACAAGAGCCCCAGAGATTCTCAAGTTCAGGGAAGTTGGAAGACACGGGTAGAAATGGGCGGT